TTGTTAGTTTTGGTGCGGATATAATTTTCTATTTTTGGTTCTCTTTGTTCATTTTGGTATGTTTTGGAGGACTTTAACACATTTTCACTTATATTACCTCCTTTCTCTTATTGATTTTGATAGTTTGCCTACGTGAATGATATTAATCTTTTGTTATACATATTATAATCCCCCATACTATTTACTGTTTAGTTTTCTTGTCAATATTCTTTTTAACATTTAGACATTTTAAGTTTTCTTTTTTTTTATTTTTTATTTTTTATTTTTTTTAAAGATTTTATTTATTTATTTGAGAGAGAGAATGAGATAGAGAGAGCATGAGAGGGGGGAGGGTCTGAGGGAGAAGCAGACTCCCCGCCGAGCAGGGAGCCCGATGCGGGACTCGATCCCGGGACTCCAGGATCATGACCTGAGCTGAAGGCAGTCGCTTAACCACTGAGCCACCCAGGCGCCCCGACATTTTAAGTTTTCATGTAATCAATTCTATTGATGCTTTTTTAGTTTCTGCCTCTGGTCATGCCAAGAAAAGCCTTCTCTGCCCTGAAATTAGATCAATTCTTTTTTTTTTTTTTTAAAGATTTTATTTATTTATTTGACAGAGAGAGACACAGCCAGAGAGGGAACACAAGCGGGGGGAGTGGGAGAGGGAGAAGCAGGCTTCCTGCCAAGCAGGGAGCCCGATGTGGGACTCGATCCCAGGACCCTGGGACCATGACCCGAGCCGAAGGCAGACGCTTAACGACTGAGCCCCCCAGGCGCCCCAGGTCAATTCTTACTCTTTCATATTTTCTTATGGTGCTGCTGCTTCTTTGTTAGCCCTGCGCCCAGGGTGGGGTTTGAACTCACGATCAAGAGTCACACACTCTACCTACTGAGCCAGCCAGGTGGCCCTCTAATGCTTCTTGATAGTTTGCTTTTCACCTTTAAACTTAGACCCACTTGGAATGCATCTGGATACATGGTATAAAGCTAAATTTACACGGTAATTTTTTTCCCTAAATGATAAGCCAGTTTCCCGCCACGTTTGGAAAGACTGTCCATGTCATACACTATATTCTCATTTATTTGTTCGGGTCTCTTTCTAGACCGTCTAGCTTCTTCCATTGCTTGTCCTGTGCCTGTCCTATGCCTGCACCTCACTATTTCAATTATTGTAATTTTATACTATATATAATGTTTTGTAGGGCACGGTCTCTTTCATGGCTTTTCTCCTTACTCTGCAAGGTTTTCTCATGTGGTAGCCCCTCTATTTTCCTTTGTCGTTTGCTTCAAGTAGAGGATGGATATTGTCGACACCTAGGGATGGTAATGAGGTTCTCCCTTCCGGGTCCTCCCCCAGCTCTCCGGCTCAGACGAGACCTGATTCTGGACTTGGGTCTGATCTGGTTTAAATCAGTAATGAGGCTCATGGAAAGGAGAGAACACATCTGCCCAGGACACCAGTTTGGGGGATGGGGAACAGCACCCTGGAAACATGGCTGGAAATTAAGGTTATTTAACCTTGAAATGTAGCTAAGAACGAGGCTGATGAAGTTCAGGCTTTGACATTACAGAGAAAAAGTTGCCTGTTTAAAAGCCAAGGTGGGGAAGGTCTCAGAGCATAAAGCAGTCTAGAAGTCACATGGTGATGGGATCAGCTGGATGGCAGAAAGCAGCAACAAGCGGGGGGGGGGGGGGGGGGGGGGGCGGGGGGCGGGGGGGGGCGGGGAGCGGTTCCTGCTCCCTCTGTGGGCCCGCCTTCTGCAAGCCCAGCGAGCACTTTGTTCTGCTTTGACTGAGGGTGATGAGAAAAGGGCGGGGAGGGGCCTTAAAAGGTTAGCCAAGAGATTAGAAGAACTAGAATTATTAATCTCAGAGAAGAGCAAACAATTTAAAAGAGCCCGAGGAGGCTTCTCACACACAGAATGAACAGTAAATCTCCCTCGGGGCTGAAAACAGGAAGTGTGTGATAAAAACCACTTACTCTACAGCAACACCAAAACATCACAAATGGAAGGGCATTTCCATGTTCCCATGAAAGGCTGAGAGCAGAACTTCTCAAACTAGAAGGGGGTACATTTCCCTGGGGGACTCGGTCGGGGTTTTTCAAACCTCAGCCCCCTCTCCCCTTCACCCCTGCAGGAAGCTAGCGGCTGTCTTCCTCAGGGGTGTCAGATCCAGAATCTCTTGGAAATGAGGTAGACCTTCATCAACACCTTTTTGTGAGACCTCGGCTGTAAGCAGGGGCCATTTCAGGCCACCTCCGAGGGTCTCTGGCAATCCCACAGGCTTACGGAAACCAGAATTTATGTGACCATATCTGGGTGACTTTGGAAGAAATTCTAGACTTGGCAGTGTTTGATACAAGTTACTGGGGGCTCTCAGTGGCCCCGAATGTCTCTTCCATCTGCCCCCTCTTCTCCATTCTCAGTCCATCACTTGCTTCAGACCTCAGGCACTGCATACCTGGACATCCTGTACTTTTGTTCTTTTTCAGTTCATCCTCCAACCAGCTGTCTAAATTGCACTTCTAAAATCCACATCTGCTAAGACTCTGTAAATGACTTCTTGTTTCCAGGACCCCCAATCCGACCTATCCCCACACCCTCCCCTTGGTTGCGTGCCTGTCCCAGGCCAGGACTCCACCTTCCAGCTTCCCTGAACTCCCGCAGGAGGTAGGGCTGCGGTTCTGTCTCTGCCTGCTCTCCTACCACCTGCCCCTGGGTACATGCATTTCTGCATTCAGTGGTCTCTCCAACCCCTGCCCTTGGTCAGGTGTTCTTCCTCTGCACGCCGACAATGCCCCGTGTATGACTTTATCATAGCTCTAAGTGCCATGTGTTTACGAAACTGTCTCCACTGTGAGACTTCGAATTCCTGGAAAGCAGAAACTGTGTCTTCCATGGCTGTTTCTCCCAGCCTCCCAGGGTGCATGGTGTATAAAGGTGGTTAACAAATGGGTTGGTAGGTGGTGTATGATTCACATATTCGATAGAGCCTTTTTATGGAAGAATAATTGACGTACAAATTGTATTAGCTTTAGGTATATGACATGATAATTTGATATTTATATACATTATGAAATGGTCACCACGATCACCACATCTGTCACCATGCAGAGTTCTTAGAATATTATTGGCTGTATTCCCTATGCTGTACATTACATCCCCATGTCTTATTTTTTAACTGGAAGATTTTAACTCTTAATCTCTTTCTCTTATTTTGTCCACCCCTAACCCCCTACCCTCTGGCAACCATCATATTTGATAGTGCTTTAAAAAACTATCTAGGGACGCCTGGGTGGCTCAGTCGGTTAAGCATCTGCCTTCGGCTCAGGTAGTGACTGAGGCCCACATCAGGCTCCTTGCTCAGCGGGGAGCCTGCTTCTTCCTCTGTCTGCCACTCCCCTTGCTTGTGCGCTCTCACTAACAAATAAAATCTTTTTTAAAAATTAAAAAAAATTAAAAACTAGGCAGTTGGGGCGCCTGGGTGGCTCAGTTGGTTAAGTGTCTGACTCTTGATTTTGGCTCAAGGTCATGATCTCAGGGTCATGAGATCGAGCCCTGCGCTGGGCTCTGCACTGGGCGTGGAGCCTGCTTAAGATTCTCTCTTCCTCTCCCTCTGTCCCTCCCCCACCAAAAAACCCCACAAACTATATAGGAAGGTATAAGTTTTTATTTATTATAATCTGGATTGGGAATTTCTACCCCAAGTCTATTTTCTTATTTATTTTATTTTTTTAAAGATTTTTATTTATTTATTTGAGAGAGAGAGAGAGAATGAGTGGAGGGAGAGGGAGAGGGACAAGCAGACTCCCCACTGAGCAGGGAGCCAGATGTGGGGCTTGATCCCAGGCCTCTGGGATCATGACATGAGCTGAAGGCAGACGCCTAACCAATTGAGCCACCCAGGTGCCCACTGAGGTTATTTTCTAATTGGGTAAATAAAGTCTTGAGTGTTTATCTTGGCCTCCTAGTCCTTAATTTCACTGTAACAGATTTTAAGGCCAGGGTTGGGGGGGGCACTCATTTTTTTTATTTTTCTAATTTAATTTAAATTCAACAAACATACAGTGTATTATTAGTTTCAGAGGTAGAGCTCAGTGATTCATCCGTCTTATATAGTACCTGGGGGAGACATTCATATTTTGTTCTTTGTCTTTTTCTCTTCCTTTCTCCCTCTATGAATTTCATTCACTTGATAGCAATGTTGAGAAGATTATATGGGACGAGGCCTGTGCAGGACGCAGCTAGTGCATTTGGTTAGTGCCAGTGCATCTGAGCTGAGGTACCCACAAGGCAGAATGGTGCAGTCATACTATGAACATAACTACCAGTTAGATACTAGAATGCTGGGGTCAGCCAATATAGTCCCCTCGCAGTAGGAGGTCTATTTGGGATATCTGGTTGCTGGGGATAACAAAATGAGGACAGAATGCTCTGTGACTGGAAAGGATGTAGAAGTCAGGAATGCTGGCCTTCCCCACCAAATAGGAACCTGTCCAGCAAGTTAACTGTCAGGCCCGCTGTGTGTACCCTCTGTCAGCACTGGGGCGTCCCTTTAAAAAAATTTTTTTTTATTGTAGATTTAAAATATACAACATAAAATGTACCATTTTAACCATTTTCTGGCACAAAATTTATTGGCATTAAGTCCATTCACAATGCTGTAAACCTTCACCACTGTCTATTTCTAGAACCTTTTCATCACCCCAAACAGAATCTCCGTTGATCATTAAGTAACTAACTCCCCCTTGCCTACCCACCCCTCGGTCCTCAGCAACCTCTAATCTACTTCTGTGTCTATGAATTTGTTGTATAGAAGAGGGATCATCCTTCTAAGTCTGGCTCATTTCACGTAGCGTAATGTTTTCAAGATTCATCCATGTGGTAGCAGGTGTCAGAAAATGCTCATCGCTTTTTACATTAAAACTTTCCTTTCGAAGGCTCTCCGATGCCCACTTTCGTCATGCTTCCACTCATTCCGATCACACCCTTTTCCTTTTTTTGGCTTGTTTCCAGAGCCTCCCCTTCCGGAAGTAGACTTGGTCACAGCGCATGGAGGGCCTCTACCACGTCTGAGACTGAGGAAAGCCAAGGAGAAAAATGGACCTATCAGGTGGGTAGTGGCCCCTTTTCCGTGGTTGCCCGGTGGTCCTCATGGAGAGTCTTGGAAACTTTGGTTTGATCGAGGAGGGGACTTTCTAGGTGCTGCACTTGAATAGTTGGGGCAGTGCAATCAGGGCCTCTTGTTTTTGATTCCTTGGCCACAGACTGGGCCTTGAGTTCCAACCAGCATCCTTCCAAATGAATAGAGAGACTTCTAAGGAGCCAGAGACAGGCATTTGGGCAGCTTAGCTCAAAAAATGAAATCCCTTCCTTTGGTCACCGGCCAGACAAGCATTGACTGTGTGTGATGTGGAAAGTGTTAATCCTTTGCACTCACCTCTTCATGTACGTCTCTCAGTGATGGTGGACCAGGAGCATCGTTTCATTTAAAGATGATCTTTGGGTGTGTGTAGTGGATCTGAAAGGGTCATTTGGATAATTCTCTTAATTCGTTCACACATTGAGTTATAGGCAAGACACTGCGTAGCTAATGACTGCTTCTGGGATTCCAGATGGTATTAGGATGGAATTAATTCACCTGACTTGGAGAACTACGTTGTGTTCCATTAAGCATTTTATTTACAGGGTCATGCTTGGGTTAGGAAAGCAGAATTATCTCCCCCCCCCCCCGCTTTTTTTTTAGAAAGGAAGATAGAGGAACCCCTGGAGAGATAAGCACCTTGCTCACAGGAATAAGGCAAGGACATGGCAATAGCCTTGCCATCCTTGACCTAACCTTTGTTGCCTTATGTCATTCTTGACCTGTTAGTCTAATGACCCTTCAGTACATTCAATGTGAAAATAAATGTGAGATATTATAAAATTATGAAAAAGAAAGTCTGGATATATTATCTGTGTGTCTCTTTTTTGTTTGTTTGTTTAATTTTAAGTAGGCTCCATGCCCAGTGTGGAGCCCCAGTGTGGGGCTTGAACTCTTGATCCTGAGATCAAGACCTGAGCTGAGATTGAGTCAGACACTTAACAGACCGAGTCACCCAGGCGCCTCTGTGTGTCTCTTTATAATGAAACTTAGGCTTTTCCTGTCTTTCTATTAGTTTAAGTGCAGTAAGTTCTCAAAGGTCTTTCCAGGCATGGATATTGTGTACATTGTTCTGTTTCTTGATTCCTGATGAGTTACTGGAAGGCACTGCCATTCTGTTGCTATGAGGAGAACAGAAGTTATGATATCACTGCCTGAGAGAATTTGCAAGAGCAAATGTAGTATGTAGGCCAATAATTACATAAGGCAAAAAGAAAAGCCAAATGACAGTCTATCCTTGTGGCTAATGTGCCCTCCACTGCCTCCAAAACAGGAAGTGGAGATCTGTGAGTCATTCCAGGGAGGGTGGCAGTGAGGAAGAGGGGAGAAGTCTTTCCAGAACAGTCATGTTCCAAACAGCCACAACTGCTTCCCTAACGTCATCAGGGTTAATTACCAACAGGCAAGTGGAGCAGTTTCCTCTCCCTGACTACCTGGTTTGAGCCAGGGGAGCAGCTTTGCCAGTGTGGGAGACAGGCCTGAGTCTGCTTTCTGCATTGTTGTGGGGGGAGGGGGGGCAGTGGCGTGGGGCACATGGTGGAACGGGCCCTGGGAGCAAGGCTCCCCTCCTTAGCTTGGTGATCTTGAGTGCATGATGCAGCCTGTTCCTGGACTCTCTTAATGCTAGTGTCTCCCACACTTGCCAACTTATAGAAATAATCTGGGTTGCCCTATCAGCAGTACAAATTCTCAGACTCAGCTCCTGGAGATTTTGATTCCGTAGGTCTGGGATGGGGGCTGGAAATCTGTATAATTATCAAGCAACTCGGGGGATTATGATCAGGCTAACTGGGGAGACTGCTTTATGCCCCATGAATGGTGCCTCTAATGTCCAGAACCAAAGGTGAGCCTTGAGGTTGCACTTGAATGCCACCATCTACATGGAAAGGCAAGATGGATTAGAGCTTGAGGACAGCATGGAGCTTCTGCACCATTTATTCTCTTACCTGCAGCCATGATTCATAGGGATGTCTTCAAATCGCCAGGAAAGTGTGTTGTTACAAGTGTTCCCCTGTAGGCAGTGGATGCTTCGTAGATGTTTAGTGGTGGTGGTGGCAGCAACTCACCGCCCTGCAGGCTTTACCTTGTACCTTTTGTAGAAAGCTCTTTGCTGGAAAGCGAGCCCAGACTTTGTGGAAATCAGGGCCCCGAAGACACATAGGATGTTTGGGATGGAGGCTTTCCAAGTCCCAGACCTACTGTCGTGGAAGGCTCCCTTTTCTTAACCTAGTGACTCATGGACTTTTAGGAAGCAGGAGATGGGGCATTAGGAATGTGGAACAGGAAGTGTATATTTGCTAGTAAAATAGATTATGTGGCCTCATGGCTTGGAAATTACCCTAATCATGTTTGGTACCAATGCGTGTTTTTCCTCTTTACGGAAACGTCAACTCAAGAAACATTAGTGGGGAGTCAGTCACAGCCAAAGAACTCGGTAAGGATTTGCAAGGATACAGGAGTAAGTCATTTAAATCCCTGCTGTCAGGCCTGATAGAGAAAGCAGATGTTCAGACATGTGCTATCCTAGAGGCAGGAGAGAAGGAAGGAGGGGTGGGGTTGAAAAAGGAGGCATGATTCATTCTCGGTGTGGTTTTATTCTTACACCTCCTTTGGCTGACAGGTTTTGTATTTGGTGGGATAAATAATAACAAAACACGTACAAAAGGATGCTTGCTGGCTAGTGTGATCCTCTGTCCACGTTGGGGGAAGAGTTTCACAATGTACACATGACATTTTACCTTTCTGCCTATTTCAGGACATGGTCAGGCTAGATTAACGCATGGTGATTTGGCACTCCTTCTCATTTATTTCACATGAACTCGTATCTGTGAACTGGAGGACATGCAGATCACATGAGTTCCGTTTCAGCTTACCATGTGACTGGAGCCTTTTTGCAGACTTAGGACATTAACGCTTGTAGGCAGGCAGCCTCCATGTGACTGCTAAACCCTTTCCACAGCTGGGTTTCATTTGCCCACGTGGAAACCGCTGATGAGATCAGCTGTGTGGCATGCACACCCAGGGCAGCCATACATGTAACGACCTCTCACAGCTCAAGAGGATTTACTTGGCATCCATCCGCGGCGGGAACTTGAGATCCCTCACATCGTGTCATGGGCCGTTAGCACCGTAGGTCCAAACTGGAATTCCCTAAGTGTGGGAGCTGTCAGACTGTAAATCCCCCCAGGGGGCAAGGACTTTTTCTTGTCCAGGGATGTATCTCCAGTGCCAGAAAAGTGTTTCTCTCATAGCAGGTGCTCCATACATATGAATAATTGAATGAATGACTCTCTCAAGCAAGGGTCTGATAGACATTTTCTTTTTTCTTTTTTCCAGTTCATATCAGGTGTTAGTGTTTCCCCTGGCCCTCCAAAGCACATTTTTTTGTGATTCTGAAGGGACCACCTCATTCTTTAGCAACACTTCTGACGCTGAGGGATATGTGGCTGCAGAACTACTGGCCAGAGATGTTCCAGATGATGCCACGGAGATATCTATTGGAGACAGGCTGTACTATGGGAAATACTATAATGCACCTTTGAAAAAAGGGAACGATTACTGCATTATATTACGAATCACAAGTGAATGGAATAAGGTATACTTCTTTTAGAAACTCGTGAATTCTCTGTTTTCTTCTTCGCGTGAAATGTCAATATTTGAACATTTGTTTCCCTGTTATTTGGGATGGACACTGCATGTACGAACCATAAAAATGTGTCGAATACTTTGCCTGTATAAATGATGGGCAGGTGAGACCTTTAAGGAGGTTGATGGTCTGAACTTCCTGCGGGACCTGGTGGGATCTGTGCTTGGACTGACCTCGTTTTGGTTCTTCCTCTTAAGCTTCACAAATCCCCTCATCCTAATGCCCTGCTGAAGCCTGATTTGAAGAGGAATATCTGGATTTCTCTGTCACTTCCCTGTGCTCCTGCCAGGCTGCTGCCTCCCCTCACCCTCTCAGAAGCAGGAAGGCGAGGCAGATGACCGTCAGCGCTGCCCTATTTTCTGCTTCCTTGACTTCCTTGGCCACCCCCACCTCTCCTCATCCTTAGAAAGCCTGCGTTATTCCAGTGGTGGTTCTTTCATGAGACATAGAACTATAGATTCGTTGCATGATGAGTAAATACAGTGAGCTGGACAAGCAGAATAGCAAGAGCTGAATCAGTGAGTCAGGGGTGAAAGATCTGGAAGAACCATTGTGATGGTTGCCCCAGGAGAACTCCAAGTGTGATGTAAATTCATATAGATTGGTAATGGAAACTAGAAGAAAATTATACTAATAGAAACAGCTCTTGACTGATGAATTGGAGCCATCTTGAGTATAAGGTTCATTAGTTAGTTAGTTAGTTAGTTAGTTAGTTAGTTAGTTAGTTAGTTAATTTTGAACCCAGCACAGGGCTTGAACTCACAACCCTGAAGTTAAGATCTGAGCTGAGATCAGTAGTCGGACCCTTAACTGACTGAGCCAGCCAGGCGCCCCCATCCCATATTTAAAACTGACAGGTACTCTGTTAAATTCTGTATAGGACACAAGTCTAATGTGCCATTATCATGCTTGATAGTAAACCAGTGCTTACTTTTAAGAATATGTACAAGTAGCAAAGAGATTTAGTAGTATTTTGTGACAGTAACGTAGGAATTAAGAATTGGCAGGCTAAAGCCCAGAATATATTTCCCTGAACTTGTTTACAAGGTGTTTATGACTCAGGGCCTTCTCGCCAGAAGCTTACCTGGAGATCCTGCCTTGGCGTTTCTAGCCGAAGATATAGCACTAGCAGTACAAAATGAGTACGGTGGAGGGAGGGCTCAGAGAGCTGCGCTTCCAGATTGAGCCTTCAGTCTAAGAGGTACATGGGTGCACATGGGCTGCCATAACAAAATACCCTAGGCTGGGTAGCCTCAACCACAGAAATGTATTTCTCACAGCTTTGGAAACTGGGAAGTCCCAGATTAAGGTACCAGTGGACTTGGTTCCTTGGTAAGGCCCTCTTCCTGGCTTTCAGACAGCGGCCTTCTTGCTGTGTCCTCACATGGCAGAAAGCGTGCAACCCAGCTCTGGTCAATCTTCTTCCTCTTATATGGACACTAATCCTATCATGGAGTCCCCACCCTCATGACCTCATCTGAATCTAACTACTTTCCAAAGGCCCTACTCCCAAGTACCATCACACTGGGGGCTAGGTCTTCAATATATGAACTTTGGGCGACCCAAACATTCAATCCATAACACAGATAATTGAGTGAGAGGTTAAGATACGAATCCTAGTTTATAGGAAACTTTTCTATGATGTCATGGATACCTCTTTTTCATATAGCTTCGCAGAACTTGGTCTTTGGGAGGCTAAGGAGGTGAAGGGGTTTGGAAAAAATTTATATTGGGACTTGCATTTTTCAATTCCAATTACTTCCCCTATGGGTTTCCAATCTATTAGTGTTACAGTCATATTAAAATTAGTAGTGAACTATTTATTTTTCTTTTTTAAACAGTTTTATGGAGATACAATTCACATACCACATTAATCACCCATTTAAAGTATATAATTTACAGCATAAGGAATATAGTTGATGTGGTGATAGTGATATAATGGGACTGATGGCAGTTACATTTGTGGTGAACATCTTTTATAAACTTGTCAAATGACTAAGTTGTACACCTGAAACTAATGTAACGTTACATGTCAACTATACCCATATAAAAAAAATTTTTTTTTTTAATATTTTATTTGACAGAGAGAGAGAGAGTGAGAGCAGGAACACAAGCAGGGGGAGTGGGAGAGGGAGAAGCAGGCTTCCCGCAGAGCAGGGAGCCCGATGCGGGGCTCGATCCCAGGACCCTGGGATCACGACCTGAGCTGAAGGCAGACGCTTAATGACTGAGCCACCCAGGCGCCCCTAAAAATTTTTTTAAGAATAAAAGTGGTTGGGGCGCCTGGGTGGCTCACTCGTTAAGCGTCTGCCTTCAGCTCAGGTCGTGATCCCAGGGTCCTGGGATCGAGCCCCGCATCGGGCTCCCTGCTCCGCGGGAAGCCTGCTTCTCCCTCTACCTCTCTTTCTGCTTGTGTTCCCTCTCTGTCTCTCTGTCAAATAAATAAATACAATCTTTAAAAAAAAAAAAGATAATAAATTCAAGACTTAAAAAAAAAGAATAAAAATGGTTAAGATGATAAAGAAAATAAAATAAAAAATGAAGTATACAATCAGTGGTTTTTAGTGTATTCACAAGGTGGTAGAACTATTACCACAATTTAATTCCAGAACATTTAGTAGTGGTTTATTTTTATTTTTATTTTTTATTTTAAAAGATATTATTTATTTATTTATGTATGTATGTATGTATTTATTTATTTATTTAATTTTTATTTTATTTACTGGCCCACCCAGGGGCCCAGCAGTGGTTTATTTTTAATATTTATTTTTAATGGTAAAATACGTATAACAAAATTTACCATATAAACAATTTTAGGTGTACAGTTTATTAGCGTTAAGTACATTTACATTGTTATGCATCCAGTCTCCTGAATTCTTTTCATTTTGGCAAACTGAAACATTATACCCATTGAGCAGTGCCTCTCTCCTTCCTGCCTCCCCCAAACCCTGGCAACTACTCTTCTGCTTTCTGTCTCTATGAATTTCACTACTCCAGGTACTTCATGCGCCTGGGTGGCTCAGTTGGTTAAGCGACTGCCTTCGGCTCAGGTCATGATCCTGGAGTCCCGGGATCGAGTCCCGGATCGGGCTCCCTGCTCGGCAGGGAGTCTGCTTCTCCCTCTGACCCTCCTCCCTCTCATGCTCTCTGTCTCTCATTCTCTCTCTCTCAAATAAATAAATAAAATCTTTAAAAAAAAAAAAAAAAGAAGAATCGTACATTATTTGTCTTCTTTTGACTATCTTATTTCACTTAGCCTCATGTCCTCAAAGTTCACCCATGGTGTAGCATTGTGTCCGAATTCCTTCCTTTTTAAATATTCTACTGTGTGTATACACCACATTTTGTTTAACCATTCATCTGTGGATGGACACTTGGGTTGCTTCCATCTTTGGGCTATTTTGAATAAGGCTGCGATGAACATGGGTGTGCAAATTTCTCTTTGAGTCCCTGATCTCAGTTCTTTGGGTCATTTACAGTTGGATAATTCTCTTCGTATTTTTTTGAAGAACTGCCACACTATTTTCCACAGCAGCGGCACCATACGTATTACATTCTCACCAGCAGTGCATAAGGGTTCCATTTTCTCCACATCCTCCCCAAGACCCGCTGTTTCCTGTGTTGATAATGGGCCTCCTAATGGATGTGAGATGGTAACTCACTGTGGTTTTGGCTTCCATTTCTCTGATGATTAGCGATGTTGAGCATCTTTTCATGTGCTTTTGGCAACTTGTATATCCTCTTTGGGGAAATGGTTTTTCAAGTCCTTTGCCCATTTTCAAATTGAGTTATTTATTTCTTTGTTCTTGGGTATTAGGAGTTCTCTATATATTCTGATATTAATCCCTTACGAGATTTGCAATGTGCAGATATTTTGTTCCATTCCATGGGTTGCCTTCTTTACTCTCTCGGTAAGTGTCCTTTGATGTACAAAGTTCTTAGTATTTTTTTTTTTTTTTTTTTATTCATGAGAGAGAGAGAGAGAGAGGCAGAGGGAGAAGCAGACTTCCCACAGAGCGGGGAGCCCGATGCGGGACTCGATCCCAGGACTCCGGGACCATGACCTGAGCCGAAGGCAGACGCTTAACCATCTGAGCCACCCAGGCGCCCCAAGTTCTTAGTATTTTTTAACATTCCAGCTTTCTTTGTTTTTTAATTCCAGTATAATTGACATACAGTGTTATATTAGTTTCAAGTGTACAATATAGTGATTTAACAATTCTGTATATTACTCAGTGCTCATTGTGATACATGTCCTCTTAATCCCCTTCATTTATTTCATTTATCCCCCCACCCACCTCCCCTCTGGCAGCCACCAGTTTGTTCTCTATATTTAAGAGTCTGGGGTTTTTTTTGTTTGTCTCTTTTTAAAATTTGTTTTGTTTCTTAAATTTCACATATAACTGAAGTCATGTGGTATTTGTCTTTCTCTGACTGACTTACTTCACTTAGTATTATACCCTCCGGGTCCATCCATGTCATTGCAAATGGGAAGATGTCATTCTTTTTATGGCTGAGTAATATTCTGTTGTGTATATATATATATACCCCACATCTTCTCTATCCATTCATCTATCCATGGACACGTGAGTTGCTTCCCTATCTTGGCTATTGTAAATAATGCTGCAGTAAACATAGGGGTGCATGTATCTTTTCAATTCAGTGTTTTCCTCTTCTTTGGGTAAATGCCCAATAGTGGCATTACTGGTTAGTTCTATTTTTAATTTTTTGAGGACCCTCCATACTGTTCTCCACAGGGGCCACTCCAGTTTGTGTCCCACTAACAGTGCATGAGCGTTCTTTTTTCTTCACATCCTCAAAAGTTCTTAATTTTGATGAAGTCCAGTTTATCTCTCTCTCTTTTTTTTTTTCCTGCCCATGCATTTGATGTCATATCCAAGAAATCGTTGCTAAACCCAATTTGCCGAAGCTTTTTCTCTATGTTTTCTTCTGTTCTGGGTCTTATATTTGGATCTGATCCACTTTGAGTTAATTGTATGGTGTTAGGTCAGGGTCCCACTTCATCCTTTTGCATGTGGATATCTAGTTTTCCCAGCACCATTTGCTGAAAAGATTTCCTTTTCTCATTGAATGTTCTTGGCCACCCTTGTCGAAAATTATTTGACATATGCAAGAGTTTATCTCTGGACTCTCCATACTACTGTATTGGTCTATATGTCTGTCTTTATGCCAGCACCACATTGTTGTGATTACTTTAGCTTTGTAGTAAAAATTGACACCAGGAAGTTTGTTTTCCAATTCTCCCAGTTTGTTTTTCCTTCTGTGTATCTGTCCAAGTAAATAGCATCACCATGCTCCCAGTTGCTAAGACAGAAATCAAGGAATAATTCTTGTCTCCTCCCTCTTTATCTTCTTGTCTAGTGCACCATCAAATTCTGTCAATTCTGTCACCTTCATTCTGTGTAAAATCATCCTTTCCTCTCCTTCTTCATTAACAATGTTTAGCCTTTGACATCTCTTGCCTGAACATCAATTTTCTTTTTTTTTTTTAAAGATTTTATTTATTTATTTGAGAGAGAGAGAATGAGAGACAGAGAGCACGAGAGGGAAGAGGGCAGAGGGAGAAGCAGACCCCCTGCTGAGCAGGGAGCCTGATGTGGGACTCGATCCCGGGACTCCAGGATCATGACCTGAGCCGAAGGCAGTCGCTTAACCAACTGAGCCACCCAGGCGCCCTGAACATCAATTTTCTAACTCATCTTCCTGTCTCTTATTCTGTCTCTTTGCTCCATACACCTGCCAGAATGAGTTTCATAAAGTGTAAATCTGGTCACGACACTCTATTTTAATGAGCTTCCTTCTTCACCTGGCCCCACCAGTTTCTCTCCTTTAATACACTCAGTTCCCTAGTACCTGCCCTACTACTTGAGGTCCCTTTCACTGGTTATTCTTGCCTATGATTTTCTACTAGATGCCCTTGATGCACTTAGCACCAAGGCAAAATTCAGTCACATTCAAGAGCTTATGGCCATTTCAAGCTTTCCCCAGCATTTTTCAGTGTAAAAATATATTTTTTTAATTTTTAATAAAACCAGACTACCCAAGGTTGTCACTTGAAAGAGAATATTCTTTTGAAGTTGGAGGGATCTTTCTCTGACCCCTGCTATTTAGTATCCTCTGGGGAACATTTTGCTGAGTAACCCCAGTGTTCTTAACAGACAAATATGCATAGAATAACTGGGGGAGAAGGAAAGAAGGTATCTCATTCCAATGAGTTTGTGGGTCTTGGCCAGATAAGTATCATCTAGACCAGTGAAGTTTTATTATTTACCAAGACTTCCCATAGCCTTGCCTATCACATGCATTACTGTCACTGTCACATCCCTGTCACATGGACGGGATCTCAGAATATTTTTCAACATCGTTTGTAGGCAGTCAATGCCAGTTGCTCAGAGCTGGCAAGGAGAATGAAACTCATTGCCATTTGTTTCTGTTGTTTACCCATAGTGTGTGCTTTCTGAGATCTATTGAAAAGCTACAGAACTGATCCCTAGGGTCACTTCTGTCCCTGCTACCCATGCCAGTCCCTCCAATACTTAGTGATCACATGGCTCAATTATAAGATGTTAGAGCTAGATGAGGATATTTTAATCCAAATCAAGAGAAAAACAAACCCAGTAAAGTTTCCGGGCTAAAATGTATTATTTAAACTGATGTTCTGTGCTGCTTCATTAAACGTGTTGCTGCATTTCTCTTCATAGGTGAGAAGATGCTCCTGTGCAGTTTGGGCTCAAGTGAAAGGTAAAACCACTTTCTGCGTAAGCATCCTGTCTTTTTTTCTCCTGTCCAGTCTGCAGCATCAAGTTTATGTTAATGAGATTTCTTTTTAAGTTGTCACAGGTGACCGAAACCCATCTCATACTAGTTTAAGCAAAAAGCCATAGCTGAAAAGGATGCGGGGTGGGGAGCTTATGGACCTAGCCCCAGAGGGGCATCACCAGGATTCCAGGAACTGACACTTGGGATTTGACATCATGAGTGGGACACTCTGTCTGTGTCTCTGCTTTCTGTTTCTGAGTTGGCTTCATTTTCTTCTACAATAAACCATGCGATGGAGAGGGATGGGCACCAGCTGCCCAGTTTAGCAACTTCAGTTGGGAACAGAGGATTTTTCAATTCAGGGAAAGAATCTTTCCTCCTAGATTAAGTGACCGTCCGTGGGATGACTAGTACCCCTCGTATGGTACTATATAGGCACTACAAACAGCCTGCCTGGGATTTTGGGCTTGGATTATGACTGGTTGAGGGCAGATCAGTGTGATTGACAGACACACCAGGATTGCACTGAGAGGCGGACATGATCCCCATCAGAAAAAGAAGCACAGAAAAACATGTTGGCAGACCAATACAAAGAGCCACAACAGTCCCCTACTTTCAGCCATTTAGCTGCTTAGCATGTGCACACACATACGTGTATACTTTTTAAAAAAAAGATTTTGTTTATTTATTTTAGAGAGAGGGAGAGAGCAAGAGAGAGAGTGTGCGGGGCTGGGGAGGGGCGGAGGGAGAGGGAGAGAGAGTCCTAAGCAGACTCCGTGCTGAGCTGGGAGCCTGACGTGGGGCTCCATCCCATGACCCCAAGATCACGACGCCAGACGAAACCAAGAGTCGGGCGCCCAACTGCACCACCCAGGCACCCCCACATATACTTTTAGGAAAAACACCCATTATGGAAGAATTATCCTCTGTACAACCAGAAGTGGAACTTGATTGGAAGACAACCCAGAGGTGGGTCTGTTACTGCATCCAGCTCCAAGATCAGGATTCCTGGCGACGGTCCATTGCTCTTGATCCAATGCAGGTGGACTTCTCATGATCCGATGGCAGTCGGTGACTAAATGCCAAATGTAAACATTCCCAAACCACAGTCTGTAACATGAAAGGGGGAACTGGACAAGCACAACAAGCACTTTCTTTTAGAAAGGAAGAAAAGATAAAGTGCGTTGCAGTGGACAGGGGCCCCAGAACAATGACCACATCCTGCTGGCTAGGAAAAGCAAGCATCCCCTGGCTGGCAGCAGAGTGAGTCACTTGGTCACTTAGTTGGGCTGCCTCAGTCTTTTCCTGGGAAAGTACCCTGGCCCTTTCCTCTAAAGCTGTCCATGCCTGAGAAGCAGCAGGGAGGAGCTCTGCCGAGTGCTCAACAGCCTCAAACTTACCCACGCGGGCAGCTGTCCAGGTGGGAGAGCTGCCTCGGGGATTGAGCAATCGCAGCTCTGTCTGCCAGACGTGGGATTTCCCTGGCAGTACGTTTCTTTCAACCAACAGGCAGCCAGCCAGCCAGTGGATTTGATTCCCAGGGATTCCATGAGTTTGTAGCTAATACCAGAAATCTTGTCAAGTTTATGACCTCTGAATCTGGACCTTTTCTTTGTGGTTTATGAGTCCTAGCAACAGCCTGAGGAATTTTGCTCTTAGATTGGAGCATCAGTTTAACCCCTTACATCCTGCCCCTCACCTCAGAGCAGCAAGAAACAATAGGCTGGGGTGGTAAGGAAGTGCCCACATAACCCTGCTTCCAGAAGGATTCCAGCAAAGGGCACTTTACAATGGGGGATCTGTTACCTTGTCAGCAGAGGGTGCTTAGCAGGAAATGATTGGGAGGGACCTAGAGAATTAGGCTTCCTTCATTTATCTGCTTATCTTCTAATCTTATTTCCCATCTTTTTATCTCTGCTCACACCAACTTCCATAAGAGCAGAGGACATGGCTTTTCTACTGGGCAGGGCACATTACCTGACCATCAGCCATCTTGGATTGCGGTTGCCAGGCGGCGAGGGTCTCCCCCACCCCACGCCTCCACTTTCATGAGATATAACTTACATAACATTGAGGTTCATTTGTACAGTGTGATGATTTGATTTGTATTGCAAAATGATGACCTAAATAAGGTTAGTTAACACCTCCATCACCTTACATAATTACCGTGTATATATTTGTGTATGTGTGAACATTTAAGATCTACTCTCCTAGCAACTTTCAGTCATATAATACAGTATTGATAATTATAGTTACCATGTTGCACATTAGATCCCCAGTACTTAATTTATTTTATAACTGGAAGTTTGTACCCTTTGGCCAACATCTCCCCACTTCTCTCCACCCCCCAGACCCTGGCAACTACCATTCTACTCTCTGTTTCTATATAGAATTCAGCCTTTTTAGATTCCTTGTATAACTATGATCATATAGTATTTATCTCTCTCTGTCTGACTTATTTTACTTAGCATAATTAGTGAGGGTCTCCCTTCACAGAGATGTATGCTCTTACACTAATGCGTGCAGATAGGCCTAGCTTCCTGTCTTGGAATTTAAGGGAAGACCACAAGAAACAACCACATGTTCCAGCATTTGGAAATTTTTCAGCCAGTGCATTCCCTGAGGCTCTAAGGGTGGGAATGCAGTTCCCACAAAGAAAAGAGGTGCTTTTATCTGAAGAATGGAGATGTGCAAGCCTCCTGGACAGGCTCAGAAATAGCTTCCAGAATCCACTGGTTTCAGCAGCTGTTTCATATGATTAGCAAACACTCTAACTGGGTGGAAGAAATGGCCAAAGAGCTGGCTACTGTGAAGTTAACAGGAAGGATTTTGCTTTGGAAATAGAATCTAAGTGGCTTTTGGTAGTGCCTTCTTTACCCTCCTCAGCCTAAGAAGCAGTGTTGAAAGAGAGCGCAAACCTTTGAATTCATACTATTGGAAGGCTCTGGAGATAATAGAGAAGCCCACTGTTTTTTAAAACGCTGAAGGCAATTCTGATATAAATATCTACGGTCATGCACTCACCTCTGGCAGTCCCCTTTTGCAAAAATGTTGGAGACTGCCATCTCAGAAAGTAATTTGGAGAGAACTAGGATCCAGATTAGTCCTGAACTTGTTCAAGTTCATCTGTGCCAAGCAACTGCCCCATTCTCACCTTTGCCCAGGAAGGAATTCTGCTATTTACCTTATGCAGATTGCCCCTAAAAGAGCTTTGTGATGACTACCAGGAACCAGCAGTGGGCTTGAGGGGAAATGCAGAGGCCTGGGCTTCCTTGCTCCAGCCTTGCTACTCAACAGCCGAGTGTCTTTGAAATTGTATTTAACTTGGCTGGTTCTCAACTGCCTCTTACTGAGATCTCTCAGATCCCTTCCAGCCACGAAGTACTGGCTCTTTGATTTCTTGAGTCACAAAGCAAGGTCATTTGATATGCGTGAGATGATCACAAACTGTATTCACAGAACACTCTTCAGTCATAGGGGTGAAACCCCTGAGTCATTAGTGACCATTCCCCTTTCCCTTTCAGCCTGCATTTTACACCTAGGGTGTGCCCATCTCATGTCTGGATTCACCCCCTGAGCATAGGCCTTTATATCTGTAGCATAGATGACTGGCAGAGCCTCCTTCTTCCTCTCCCACCATGGTGTTCAGGGGCTCGTTCACTCCAGCCTACACATCTGACCCATATTTCTAAACTGCAGCGCTGATTTGATTACTTCCCCTGGTGGTTCTTCCAGAGTTCTCCATTAACATTTTAGACTGGTTTCTAAGGCCTCGGTTTGACACCAGCTTACCCTTCTGGTTGCCTCTCATCTTCTCCATTCAAAATGATGTGTCCGCTCTTCTCTGGTTATGGTCCTTGCTTACTTTCCTTTGTGTCTTTGTTCATACAATTACCTATTTATTTCTACCTGGCTTGCCCTATGACTTTCCTGTACTCTCTGTTTATTAGCTTATTACAATCCCACCTGTTTGCCAAGGTTAAAATCAAATGCTATGTCCTCCATGAAGCTTTTTTTATTTCCTCAGTGGGGCAGGATCTCTCTCCCTCCCTCCCTCTCTTTTAGCCATTCTGCCATACTATAGTGCAACTGGTGTACTTGTCTTTTCTTACTAGATTGCATACCCCTGAGGGAGAGCATTTGAAGAAGGGGGGCAGTGCTTGGTGCACATTGGTACCTAATCCGAATTTAGTGAATTGGGTTGGAGGATTACTGGTCAACCAGCAGTAGAGTCGGATGAAAAATGAAGCACAGTAAGTGCAATACTTAAGTGAACCAGAGAAGATGGAAGCCTAGTGTGTACGTATGTGTTTGTATATGCTGTGCACTTGTATGTATACACACATACACAAACACACACGCATACTTTAAACCTTCATCATTGTGGCTGGGAGAATTATGATACAGCCTCACAAATTCCTGGCCACTGGTATACACCCACCTTCACTCAGTTACTCATTCAAAGGCTATGCTAAGTGTTGCTGAGAAAGGATTTGAAGAATTAAGGTCCCGAGAAGGGAGATTATCCAGATGCACCTGACCTTCACATGAGCCCTTTAAATCTGGATCTAGAGGTCAGAAACAGGAGATTGGAGATTCAAGGGTGAGATGGATCCGACATGAATAAGGGTTTCTCCTGCTGTCTTTGAAGGTGGAGGGAACCACATGGCAGGAATGTGGGTGGCCAGTAGGAGCTGAGGGGCCGATGGCTGGCAGCCAGTAAGAATATGGGGACCTCAGTCCTACAACTGCAAAGAATTTGGAAGCAGATTCTTCCCCAGAGGCTCCAGAGGGAAATGCAGCCCACTTGACACATTGATTTCAGCCTTGGAAGACTCTGAGCAGAGGACCCAGTCACAATGTGCCTGAACTCCTGGCCCACAGAACTGCGAGCTAATGAGTGGGGGCTAGCTGCTAAGCTGCACTAGAAAATGAATTCAAAAATGTTGCTGATTCATCAGGTGTTACATATCTCTAAATTAAATTAATCTCTTACTTTGATCTCCTTTGTCCTCGCCCACTCTGCATGGAACTCAAGTGAGGAGACCTTAGGATAGCAGAAGAATTGAACACACTAACTAGACGTCATGGTGCAAATTATTTGTTCATCCATTTGGAGAACAGGATTATGGCTTTCAGGAAGTGACCCTGCTTCATGAAAAAATGTCGACAGCCACAGGAAGTTCTGAAGCTGTCCGGAAGCTTGAAAGTAGGCATGGAGTCTTTCTAACTTGCTCTTCAGCACCTGTGGTATTTGCATTAGTGGAAGAGTTAAAAGATAAGCCCAGAGAAGCCCTGTCACGCCTCACGAACACTGTACCTCCTCTGGGAGTCACCCTGAAGAGAAAGGCAGCGTTTAACCTAATGGATTTACTCTCTCCAAGAATGAGTCACTGTGATATAACACATGATTCACTCGAGTTTCCGAAAGAATATTCTACAAGTGATTCAGAAGAAAAATAAGCATGGTTTTATAGCATGAAACCGTGAAAGGAAGGGTAACCAGAAGACGGCAAAGCTCTAAAAAATGTAATTTGAATTGGCCAGTTGTAAATTTTCTCAGTGAGGAATTAACTGGGAAAGTCCCTAAAGAAATCTTGTGTGGCTACACTGTGAGGACTATGGGTTGGACAGACTCAGATTTTCACGGAGTACATACACAAAGTAGACCAAGAGACCAATACCAGCAAGAATCATGCCTGAAGCCAAAACCCAAGTCATGTTATGCAGAATAATTAAAAAGAAAAAGATGATTTTCCAATATTTACATCCAGAGTAAGGAATAGCTGGGTGGGCCCATTGCTTAGGGTGAATGATGTCCTGCTGGTGGATGGTCAAGAGAAAGGTCCATCAACTCCAACTTTGATTCTGTCCTGTTGGTTTGTGGGGGGACATTTTCAAAGCAAGAGAAGAGCTAACTGCTTCACATAAATTAAAGCCTTTTGACCTGGATGAAGCATATTCTAGCAGGTTCATACGGTTTGCAAGTGAGATGGTGAACAACTGCAGGTGATTCTTTAAGAGCAAACTTAAGTCGACCAGAGATGAGCAAAGAACGTGGAACTTTGTACGAGGAAGACAGAGTTTGCAAAGTGTAGTTGATGATAACTTGTGGTCAAGGGCCAGGCAAGATCTTTTAGGAGGTGGCTCTGTGGTAGAAAGAGCAGATCCCAGCAGTGAGCATTATGGTTCCTGCATTAATAAATGCGCTTAGACAATTTGTACCTGCTTGAGATATTTTAGATAAGGATTCACTTACCCTTTGTTCTAACTCTTTTAGGTTTCCATTTAAGTCTTTAAGCTGTCTGGATTTTATTTTGGCATATATAGTATAAGCTCTAATGATCAAAATCACTTTATTCTAAATGGTCAGCCAATTTTCTCAACATGAATTATGAATAATATGTCATTTCCCCTAATGATTTGAAACAGTAACAAACAACAATAATGAATCATAGCTGACATTTGCCAGTTGCCTCCTGTGTCCAGGGCACAGTTCTTTTTATTTTTATTTTTTATTTTTTTAAAGATTTTATTTATTTATTTGAGAGAGAGAGAATGAGAGACAGCACATGAGAGCGGGGAGGGTCAGAGGGAGAAGCAGACTCCATGCCAAGCAGGGAGCCCGATGCGGGACTCGATCCAGGGACTCCAGGATCATGACCTGAGCCGAAGGCAGTCGCTTAACCAACTGAGCCATCCAGGCGCCCGTCCAGGGCACAGTTCTGACAGGACTTACCTCATTTATTTCTCACAATAACCCTATAAGGTGGGTACTATTATTATCATTCCCGTGTTACTAGATCATCCCTCGGTAGGGCAATTGAGGCACAGAATGGCTGAATAACTTGTCCAGAGTCCATAGTTAGGGTGTTCAAATACAGACTTGGACAACCTGACTTGGAAATTATTTGATGTACATGGGTTTGTTTCTACACTATTTTGTTCCAGTGTATTCATCCCTATGCTGATACTGCACTGTTTTAATAGGTAGTCATTCAAGTCACTCCCCCAATTTTTTCTCTTCTAATTTCTAGTTTAACCACAGCTACTCCTTCTATTCTGTAGTATGGCTTCTTAAAATATCAAAGCCTTTTTCTTCTGAATCCTAAAGGTAGCCAAACAATATAAGCCATGTTTTTCTGGAAAGTCTCTTGACAACACTTTCTGAGGTAATGGGTTTTTCAGAGCTTTTTAGCAAGCAGTGTATTCCCCGGCTGCTTTTGCTGGTGCCAGCTACCCTGTGAGAGAATAGAACCAAACTGCTCTTCAGCTGGTTGAAGAGATGGAGCGGTACCCTTCAATGCAACTCTCTGCAACGGTGGAAAGGTTTTAAAGCGGTGCTGTCCAAAATGGTAGCAACCAGCCACATGAGGCTACGGGGCACTTGAAGTGTGTACTTGAAATTGAGCACTTGAGATGATATGATCAAGAAACTGAATTTTTAATTTAATTTAGTTTAAACCTAAACTAACTAATTTAGGTGTAAACAGCCACATTGAGGCCAGTGGCTACGGTGTTGGATAGCACAGATTTGGTGATGAGAGAGTTAAGGAGCAGGAACTCTTCTCGGATGAGCTTCATTTGCTGCCAGGGAAGCGAGTCATCTATGTTTCGAGGGTCTCACGTCCGGGGGCTACTATTTTTCCTCTCAAGCCCCTCCTCCTTACTTAGCAGATCTTTGCTTTTGCTGTTTTCAGCTCTTCCTAGGCAGTACTGGATGCCCCACGGGGCAGACTAAGCATATGCCCAGGGCATCAGTAAAAGGAGGGTACCGGAAAGTGAAATAATTTCATATTCCAACAGTGACAACCATGACAAATTATCTGGCAAAATTTGGACTTAGTTGCACTTCCTTACACCTCTTCCATGGCTGGGCAGTGTTTTCCTTTTTTAATTCTATATATGCAACGTCAGCCCCCAAGATCTTTTCAATGTCTGGTGGCACCATTGCATGCAGACCTTTGTTCTTTTAAAGAGGAACTATCCCATCATCATCAGCCTCTGCAGGAAAGGGCAGGGCCTGCACCCCTAACTCCTGAGGGGGAGTGTGACCTGCTCTGCTGTAGACAGAACTGGATTCAGATCTGCACTGGGAAAGCATGGTGTTGTGGTTAAAAGCAAAGATGTTGAAGCCAGACAGCTCGGGTTTGGATCCTGACTCTGTTGTTTATTAGCTGTGTGATCATGGACAAGTTGCTGAACAGCTCCATGCCTCGGTCCCTCATCAGTAAAATGGGAATAATAATAGTACTCAGTGTGTTATTAAGCCAGGCACTATTATTGTAATACCTGTGTGAGTACTAGGTAGTTAGGAGAAGTCATTAGAACAGTGTTTGGTATATCATAAGTGCTAAATAAGTTGTTTGCAAATTAAAATGAGACCTTTGGTGTAGAACATGATGCTCTGATTCAGTCAGCTGGCCCAAATGTGCAACTCAAGTGCGGGTGTTTTTCAGTCTATAGCAAAAGATCTCCCTGCAGTCAACATATGATACACCCCCAAATAGAGCATATGTATGTCTTTCAGAGAGCTTTTACATTAATTTTCTTTTTTTAAAAAAATATTTTATTTATTTGAAAGAGAGAGAGAGTGCGCGTGTGCACAAGTTAGGGGAGGGGCAGAGGCAGAGGGAGAAGCAGACTCCCCACTGAGCGGGGAGACTGATGCGGGGCTCGATCCCAGGATCATGACCTGAGCCGAAGGCAGACACTTAACCGACTGAGCCACCTAGGCGCCCTACGTTAATTTTCTTACTTTACCCTCATGGCAACCTGCTGAGCAGAGCAAGGAGGTACTATCCTTGTTGGTGTGTCGGGAGAACGACAGATGACTCCATCCATCAGAGAGGATTCATTTGCTATATTTGACCATTGGAGCTACCTATCACTTTTGGAGCAAAAGTCCAGGATGACTTCTTCCTCAATGCAAAGGAAAACTGCCCATAAAAACTTTCAGTGCAGTTGACTGAGAGAGGACCAATACAAGCAACACAATTCGCTGTATTTGTATGCACAGCAAGATGAACTTTTTTATCCCTTGTAACTTGAATGTGGCCTGTGTTTCCATTTCCTTTCAGAAATACCCCGGGACTGTGTTTTCTTTAGGTCCTACACCCTCAGGGCCAACTCAGGGGACACAGAGGCACTCTGGGCATTCTTGGGATGGTTTGTTAAATGGGGCCAAGCTCTGGGTTAGACTGGAGTGAGCACAGGTGCACGTGTGCCTCCCAGGAGGGCCATGATTGCGTGCTGTGGGCTCAGTGTGTGGTTTTGTCCCGCAGATTCGTCATTCGTGCTGCAGCAGATGGTGGGCGTCGGGCTGGGCTCCATGGCCGTTGTGATTGTTCTCGCATTCCTCTCCTTCTCAGCCGTGTGGTATGTGAGACTGTCATTTTTGAGAAATGAGTGGAATGGCGGAAGGATGGGGTTAGAGTCATGAAGAACAGCTGGGACTGAGGAGGGTCAAAGGGGCTGTGGGTAGAGGTCATCCACCTGAGTGCCCACCTGAGTGGGCTCAGCACTCAGCAGGTGAGAGGCATGAGTAGCTCTACACCTCGGGACGGGGCGGGGGGTGCCCTTCTGGTGCAGAGAAGGAGCAGGGTCAGTGATGGCTGCCCTGGCTACTCACAGAGTGGTGGATGATCTCCCACGCTGCTTCCCATGAGGGTACGTGAGCAGTACATACAGATGCACCAAGGGAAAACCAAAGTGTGTCAATGGACTCTTTTCCTCCTCCATGTCTAGATTGCAGATGGGCGCTACGTGTGGGGGATGCAGTGCTGCTGGGGGCAGGTGTAATGACAGCCTCTCAGGTGCCTGCCTACACAGAGGCCCCGTGTGGCTTCCATCCAGGTGTGTCTGGGTCTGCAACTTTTTCCATCCCCAGCTTGGCCCCATTTCTGGATTCAAGACGGTGAATACCTCTGTGGAACCCCCCAAGAGGAGGAAACTCAGGAATTGCTGACGTCTTCTCTGCCTACTACACAACCAGTTCTGTGTCCGTGTACTTGAGACCCTTGATATATAGTGTAATATTGACCACAGGCTACAGATCATGTGGGTTGGACCTTTGTCTTCCTCTGAGTGATTCCTGAGAGTCAGCTCTTCTGGAAATTGAATGCAAGAGAGTCTCTGCACCTTCCTTTATAGCATCTCTGGATTCATTTGGAATCATCCTTTTACAATGAGCAATGAGATGGACTTAAGTTTGGGCTAGAATTTGCCTTTATGAAGGAGGCCATCGAAAAGGATAGAGATCATTGACAGAGGCAACTTGTCAAACATTTTAGAAGCAACCCCTTTCCTACAATTAATTGACATACTAATAGAAAGTATACTAACCTGGCCACTCCAGTAAGTTTCCTGCAATGTCTGTTAGGCAGCGTTGCTTTGATACAGATCCATGGGTCTTACAGGTATTCAAAAGCCATAAGTTTTCATTCAAATAAAAATATTCTGTTAATTTAGACAGTTCTTCTCTTCCACACCAAAGTTTATAGCAGTCTTGGCTAACTTTTTTCATTACTCTCTCTTAAAAATGCCCTTGTCTTCCTTTAGATTGGGTGCTCATGTAGTAACAATGGGCTGAAACACTGTCAAGCCCATGGCCAGCGTCCATGTGTTTACAGGGAAGGGGGAAGAATGTGAGTGATGTGATCTTCCCCTTTACCTACAGCCTCAGTGACAATGGCTGTTACTTTATCATGAACCATGACACATTAGATGTAAGCGGTCCTGGGCCCGCTCTCAACTTGCTGAATTTACAGATGGGCGTATTAGATTGGACTTTTAAAACCTGAATCAGTGTTCTTTAACTTTCCTTCCTAACTGATGGTGTGACTCCAAGGCTCAGTAAGAAACGAATGGAGCAGAGGCATGTGGCTCTCCTAGGCAACAATGGTATTCTCCCTCTTCTCCCTCTTTTTCGAGGCCTGGAGAATAAAAAGCTTGGGGGAGGCAAGCAGGGGACAGTTGTAGTATATGACCTTCGGGGGCAGTGTGTATGAACACGGCCCTGGAATTGTGCAGGGTTGCAGTCCTGCAGAAGAGGGACAATGTTCCTGACGGGGTGGGGGCAGAGTTCTCTCTCTGCTAGCTCACTGGGCATTCGTTGAGGGTCAGATCTGAGTGGTCTGGGCTGGTGGGCAGAGGAGGAAACGAGAGGAACAACAGAAACAGGTGGAAACTGTCTGTGAAGCGGCCCTGCCCTGGGAGACCTGGCTCCAAGTATATCCCCTCAACTGGGGAGAGTCAGAGAGAGGGAAGTGATATCCTGACCCTTGGGTGTTCAGGAACAGCTGTTAGCCCCAGGCCCCATCAGCATTCAGCAGTATTTGGAATAATTGTCCTTTGTCCTCTGAGGCACCACCTTGGCCTATAACCTAGGATCAGCATTTAGAAACTTTCGTGCTCTCATCTTAGGTGCTCTCAAAAGACTAATACACATAGCATTCTACTTTTCATTTTTATATGCAACTATTCAAGCTCATAGTATTTTCGCAGCCTTTGAATGAAATTTGGAAGCATTACACATTATCGTGGTTAGTGTAGGGTAGGGTCTCTGATGAGTAAGGATTTTCCTGAAAGCCTCCTCTACCCAAAAGAGAATCTGAACTCCCATTATTATTATTATTATTTTACTGGTTCTGTAAACACCATATGTTTCTGCAGCCTCCTTAACTTCCAGCTTTAGAATTAGCTGCCAAAGAAGTTCCTGTGCTCCACAGGGGAGCTTAGCAAAATTGTCATTGAAAGGAAGAAATCCCACTTGCTTAGTATTAAAAGCTTCTAGTTAAAATAACTCACTAAATATTGAGTAAAATATTACGTAAAATGTACTTGTGGGTATAGTGCGGAAGTATGAAAGAATACTAAAATAACAAAAACATGGACTTTTTCACTGCCTATGAATGTTCTAAATGACAGCCCAGAGTTGCTCAGTAGTATTACTTAACGAGAGCAGGGGCTGAGCATTGGCAAGAGGATGTGCCATCTTTCTGCAGTTCTAATTGTTTTCTCATAAACTTGAGGGCAGCCAGAAGTTCTCTAAATTCGCGTGGTAGCTTTGCCACAAGACTGTTCTTTTTTTCCCAAGCCGATTCATGGTTAAGGTGGGGAGGGGATCTCAGGAGAGTGATAGTGGGTCTTCCTGGGAGAATGCAGGGTCTGTTTGTCGAAGGACCGGTAGGACAGCGCTCGGAGTTGGGTTTGCGTGCCACTACATAAAGCTAGGCCCAAGCTGGGGGTGGAGAAAGGATCTTTCCCTTATTAACTGTCTTGGGGACAGTGTGTCGAGTTGAGCTCTGAGACCTGGCTGTGTGCTCCCTTCTAGATGAGGAGTCAAATTGGGGGTTGCCCAGCTAGGGGGCTGATTATTCCCTAGCTGATTTGTGTGTGTGCATGCCTGTAGTTTTGCTTTATCTCATTGGAGTTTTTGTTTACACACATTCTTCCATCCCCTCCTCACGACAGTTGTGGATGGTGGGAAGGTCAGGGGTTACCGTTTTCCCCACATTAGAACGGAGAAATGGGTTCAGACAGGTATATGACCTGAATTGTGGGGTTAAATCTTCTGACTGCAAGTCTAGTCCTCATTCCTGGAATTGGACAGGCCTTGAGCTAACCTTTGAACAGTCCTTTTGGTTTTGGGGAGAATCAGGTCTTTGCATTTCCTACACACACACACACACACACACACATTTTAACCATTGTCCTTAAGTACTGCAACACAGGCCTTTTTATATCTATCTTTTCACTATATGGTATCTCCCCCCCTCCCCCCTCACTTCTAGAGGAGAACACAAACTACCAAACAGATGGAAGTTAATAAGGGGAAATAGGTAATAGCCCATCTCTGACTCAAGACCTGAAATTGTAGCTGGGAACTTAACCAAGACCAGAGCAGAAGTGATTATCTTGCAATTCCACATTAGCTTGGAATCAAGTTAATATTTAAATTGATTTTAAAGGAAGTAAAAAAGAATTCTCAGTGCTCCCTTTTTATTGCTAACCTCACATTTGGATTTTCTAAGCCTTCTATTTTTCTATTCTATTCATCTGAGGGAAAACCAGAGTCAGTAGTGGTAGTCAATCAAATAGTGTGTTAGGGGACCTTTTGCCTGCTACACCATTGTCACTGAACGGAAGTGCACGATTTGGGAGAGGAAAGAGGGTGTGGCTTTTTCTGCGCCCAAGTTTGTGGGCGGGTGATACATTGAAGCAAACCAGTTAAAAAAAGCAGTGTGCTCATTGTTTGAGAGAGAAAAAGAGAATGAATGAATCATTTGGTGATGTGTATGTATGCACGTGTACCCATATCCATACTTTTTGGGCACAACCCAGGGTTACCAGAAGGGGGTTCAACGACACATGTTTTGTAAACTATTGCTTCTTTCCTTCTTGGGCACATTTATTTATTTATTTATTATGTCAATAGGGACTACGTTAAAAGTTTGTGCTGTAGTTTCTTTAACCAATACTCTTCTGTGCGTGGTGCATTTAGAATGTTTCCAGATGTTTGCTATCCTTATACAATTCGTATGTATGTAATTATCATTTAGGCTAAATTCCTAGGGATGAAATTGAAAACGATATACATTTTGTGTTTACTACATATTGTCAGAGGAATCTCAATAGGAAGTTTATACCAGTTGACATTTTCACCAGCAGAAAGCCTCAAACACCACTGGGCACTGTTGATGCGTTTCATCTTGATTAATCTGATGGGTGAAAAATGATGACTCAGTGTTTTACTTGCATATCTCTATTTTTGCATGTGGATTGGTCATTTGTAATTCTGTCTTGGTGAATTTTTTTCTCAAGTACTTGGCTTGTCTTTTATTGATGTGAAAAGCTCTTTGTATCATAGTAATTTTTTTTTTCCTAGCTGTCATATATTTTGTAAACAAATTTTCTAATTTATCATCTCCCTTTTGACCTTGTTTGTGTCAAAAATTGCCACACAAAAACTCTACATTTGGATAGTCAAATTTATCAGTCTTTTCCTAATCTATTTTGCCTTTGGTGCCATGCTTGGAGGGACCTTCCAGTCTCAAGGTAATAAATCTAAATCAGCAGTTTAAAAAAAAAACACATAAGTCTATAATCCATCTGAAATTTATTTTAGTATAAGGAGTGAGGTTCGGGGGGTGGATCTTTTTTTTATTCAGTTGCTAAATGGTTTAGCCAGTTGTCCTATTAATATTCATTGACTTTTTTCCCCCAGTGATTTGAATTATATACTGAATCATATACCAAAGTCTATTTCTGAACGTTCCCCTTTGTTCTACTGATCTATTTCTGTGCCAATACCACCTGCTATAACTTTAAAATAGGGTTTTTCTTTTTTTTTTTTTTTAAAGATTTTATTTATTTATTTGACAGAGAGAGACACAGCGAGAGAGGGAACACAAGTAGTGGGAGTGGGAGAGGGAGAAGCAGGCTTCCCGCGGAGCAGGGAGCCCAATGCGGGGCTCGATCCCAGGACTCTGGGATCATGACCTGAGCCGAAGGCAGACGCTTAACGACTGAGCCACCCATGCGCCCCCAAAATAGGGTTTTTCATACCAAGTAAAACTAAGTTACCACTCTTTCTGTTAATGCTCAGATTATCCTCAGCTTTTATTATGTATTTATTCAGGGATACATATTTATTATGCATAAACTAAAGAATTATTTGGTCAGTTTCCCCCCTGAAATCTTAACATTTTTGGGGGGAGGGGGAGAGATGTGTTAAATAATGAGTGCTCCCATCCCACAACATGGTACATATCTCCATTTAATTTTTGTGTGTGTGTCCCTCTCTAGAGTATTCTACTTTTTCAACTTACAAGGTAGTTTATGCTTATTTTTATGTATGTCTAGGTATTTTATATTTTGTTATCCTGGACTCTTGAGTCACTACCTCAGCTCCTGCCCCTGAAAATGCTCTCTGCTGCCATTACTGTAGCTTTCCTGCCCTGGAAGTCCTAATTACTTTCCAAAGTATCTACTGGACTTGTGGAAACTCACAGATCCTTGCCATGCCAAATGGAGGACTGCCTGCTCTCACAGCTAGCTCCAGCCACAGACTAGTTTTCTTACTCATTTGACTTTTTGTCCTCCCATTAGTGAAAGTGTAGCTCACTCCCAGTGTGGTTCTTACTTTTTTGTCCTGCTGTCTGGCCTGACAGCCTCAGCTTCTTGACCCTTGAGTTTGTTATCCTTGGAATCAGTTACCAGGCCAGTGTGTCTTCCAAAGCTTTAGGGTACACAAGTCAGAATCTCTGAGTGTGGGGCTCCCTTGAAGTTTCTCTTTCCAGGCTTGCCCTGAGGAAGGTCCCCCACCCCCACCGCCATTGTGGTGGGGTGGGGGGATAGAAAATGCTCAGCACACCAATGGCTTTCTCCAAAGAACTTCTTTCTTTTGACCTTTTCCATTTAAATCACTTTATACCCTGGATATTGGGCTAAGGGTCTCAAGACTATGGGAAAAACCTCCTTTTAGAATATGGAAGTACTTGCAACCTATTATTTTCAGGGTTTTGGAACTTTGGTCAAAACAAAAAGAACAGTTTGGGGTCAGAGGATATGAAAATATAGCTCACAGAAAAGGAAATGCAAATGGCCCTTAAACATTAAAAAAAAAAAGATGCTCAACCTCACCTTTAAGAAGAATGCCAATTAGTAAGATATTGTTTCTCACCTATCAATCTGAGGGAAATCCAAAAGTTTTAACAACCCACTCTCTTTTGAGGCACTCAAACACTGTTAGTGAGGGTACAGAATGGTACGACCTCTATGGAAAGGAAGAGAACCTGGCAATAGTTGCTTTGCCTTTGTCCCACAACCCTGTCAGTCCCACTTCCTGTGGGCTCACCTGCACACATTCAGAATGACACAGGAACAGTTATTCACTGTGACATCATTTATCGTCGCAAAAGCTGAGAAACAACCCCATGCCTCTCAGGAGGAAACCAGTTAAATGAACTATGATACTTCCTCATAACACGGTGGAATATCATGCAGTCGTGAAAAGGGAATGAGGAAGAACTCTGTGCACTGATATGGAGAGATTTCTAAGATGTATTGTTTGTGTATATGGTATTCTAATGTGTAAGATAGGAGAATGAAAATATGTATTCAATCTTGCATAAACACTGGAATAATAATGAATTAATGCAAATGGTTACAAATAGAGCAAGGGAGAATGGGGTGGGATGGACAGGGTGAACGGGAGTCTTTTGAGTGTTTATCTTCTCATTTTGTTTTGGTTTGAAACATGAATATATTCAAAAACATAAAAATAAAGTTTCTTAAGAAAAAGTATGCCCTTTCATATTCAGTTACACATGTGTCAAAGCAAAACCTGACAGGGACAGCGTGGCTTCCTTCTCAACCTAATCTGGGACACTGAAGATTTGGGTAGGATTGGTTTAACTCCTTATTCCAAAATTGGTAGAGTATCCAGTGCTGTCTTTTACAATTTTTGCAAATTCTGTGAGGGAGTAGAGGTGCCTGTGTTATATCCCTAGGATCAACTCTAGGGTGGAGTCTCTGCTTCCTCTGAACTGCTTCAGTGGACGGGTCATCTCACTTGTGTGGGGTCCCTGTTCCACCCCCACTGACCCGCCTGTAGAACCTGGCTCCTTTCCATGATTTCCACTCGAAGTCTTACTAAGGACTTTGGGCGTTTGGAGAACATGAAGAGAGAGTGTATCACTTTCCAGTTGATGCTGTAACCAACTGCCCCAAACTTGGTGGCTTACAACCACACACACATTTATTAACTTACCATTCTGGAAGTCACAAGTCTGTCATGAGTCTCTCTGGGCTGACGTCAACATAGGGGCAGAACTGTGATGCTTCTGCAAGCTCCTGGGAGAATACATTTCTTTGCCTTTTCCAGCTCCTAGAGGCTGCCCACATTCTGTAGCTGTGGCCTTTCTTTCATCTTCAAAGCCGACCGTGTTGCCTCTTCACATCACTCTCTGACTCTTGACTGGCTCCCCACCCCCTCTTTCACTTATAAGGATCCTTGTGATTACCTTGGGCCTGCCTGGAAATTCCAGGATAATCTCCCTACCTCAGGTTTCTTTCTTTTTTTTTTTTTTAATTTAAATTTTTTTATTCTTATATTATCCCCATACATTGCATCATTAGTTTTAGATGTAGTGTTCCATGATTCATTGTTTGTGCATAACACCCAGTGCTCCATGCAGAACGTGCCCTCCTCAATACCCATCACCAGGCTACCCCATCCTCCCACCCCCCTCCCCTCTAGAACCCTCCGTTTGTTTTTCAGAGTCCATCGTCTCTCATGGTTCATCTACCCCTCCGATTTCCCCCACTTCATTCTTCCCCTCCTGCTACCTTCTTCTTCTTTTTTTTTTTCTTAACATATATTGCATTATTTGTTTCAGAGGTACAGATCTGAGATTCAACAGTCTTGCACAATTCACAGCGCTTACCAGAGCACATACCCTCCCCAGTGTCTATCACCCCGTCACCCCATCCCTCCCACCCCACCCCCCACTCCAGCAACCCTCAGTTTGTTTCCTGCGATTAAGAATTCCTCATATCAGTGCCTACCTCAGGTTTCTTAATCACATCTATAATGTTTCTTTTGCTGTGGGAGAGAACATAGTCACAGCTTCTGGTACATGGACATCTTTGAAGGCCCTTATTCTGCCCACCACGGAGAGTATTCTATTTTATATAT